CCAGGTTACAATAATCTGCACTTTTAATCCAGGTTACAATAATCCATTAATCCAGGTTACAATGATCCACACTTTTAATCCAGGTTACAATGATCCACACTTTTAATCCAGGTTACAATAATCTTCACTTTTAATCCAGGTTACAATAATCCACACTTTTAATCCAGGTTACAATAATCCATTAATCCAGGTTACACTCTTCCCTCAAGGACACATTTTACAAAGTAGCTACATACTGTATTGTGCAGGTATAAAGTAAACATTTCAGTGTTTCCCCTACCATTATGCAAGTGGGGTGCCCCACCCCGTCAACAGAACTGAGCACCCCACCTACCAAACCAAACTTGCACCACCCCCCCACCACCTGGCACTGACGTAGCACTAAGCAAGCAGTGCGAAATACAGGCTTTCTAGCTAAAAAGGCAGCACTCACGTTGCCTCTTCTCTCAAGTTGAACACCACACACTCAAAAACTGTCCGTATAAAGAGCGCACAACTCAAACGTGTCACGCTAAGCTAGCAACGCGCAATACAGGTGCTCTGGTTAAAAGCAAAAGGTGCCTCTTCCCTCATGCTGAAACCCCCCACCCCCTACCCTACTCAAAAACTGTTGGTAGAAGCTGCGCTCAGACATGTCTGTCCCGCCCCCCTCAACAAAAATCATTGATGACATGAGCACCCCGCCATGGCAAGTTAACTAGGAGAAACATTGCATTTGTATATAATTTTGTGTACATTTACAAACCGGATTCCAAAAAAGTTGGGACACTAAACAAATTGTGAATAAAAACTGAATGCAATGATGTGGAGGTGCCAACATCTAATATTTTATTCAGAATAGAACACAAATCACAGATCAAAAGTTTAAACTGAGAGAATGAATCATTTTAAGGGAAAAATCTGTTGTTTCCAAATTTCATGGCGTCAACAAATCCCAAAAAAGTTGGGACAAGTCCATTTTTCCCACTGTGTGGCATCCCCCCTTCTTCTTACAACACTCAACAGACGTCTGGGGACAGAGGAGACCAGTTTCTCCAGTTTAGAAATAGGAATGCTCTCCCATTCATGTCTAATACAGGCCTCTAACTGTTCAATCGTCTTGGGCTTACTTTGTCGCACCTTCCTCTTTATGATGCGCCAAATGTTCTCTATAGG